TCAAGCAATACAATTGTTCGGTTGAAATCACAAAACGTTCATTCACTCTTGATCAGGAATTAATTCGGAAGCCCAGACATCTTGGGGCCAACCGGTGCGTCCTTTATTTGAGCGTTGTATATTCTGTAAATGGATATACACATGTAAATTCAAAATTATTAATTTAACTTTAAAAAGTATATGCAAGTATATATAAGAACAAAGGCTGGTATACTAAGCATATTGAATTATAACGTCGTTTCAATTTAAATAAACATTACATTAATGCTGCTAACGCTATTCTTGAAAAAAAAAACAAAATTCTAAATTCCTCATCAATAATCCTTAAATCGTTCAATTTAGCGGAAGACATAATGAGGATTATTTACAGGATAGTTACAAAAATTATTGTCACCGTGGCACGACCCATCAATAAGTTAAAAAAATACAATACTTTGCATACCAATCTGAACATTATTCGGTACATAATATACTAAGCCTTGTTTGAAAACAAGAAACGTAAACTTCGGCTGGACCAAAGCTATAATATCCTTCACAGGGGCATTATGCCAAATGCGTGACGATACCTTGAAAAATTAAAGACTTTTCCAAACAAGGACTTGAGTTTGATTGGTTATTTTGTATGGCAGCTATATGCTATAGTTTTCCGATATCGGCGGTTCCGACAAACGTCGGATGTCCGGTATCTCAAAAACTGATAGACTAGTTCCCGTATATACAGATAGCTAAATCGACTCAGATCATCACGTTGATCAGTTTATTTATACTTAATAGGGTCTCCAACGTTTCCTTTTGGGTGTTACAAATATAATGGCAAATTTAATACATCCTGTTCAGAATATAATAAGCAAATTTGGATCGTAATATACACATTACCCATATAAAGGCATTGCAAATTCCATCACTTGATTTGCATTGGACAAATGTAGCAATAAGTAAGAAAATGAAGCAAATAAGTCTTCACAAAATCTGAGGTACAAATCATAATTCTTTTTTCGCTAAATTTCTTTCCAGAGATAGTTTTCTTGAAGTCTGAAAACAGTCAAAATTTGTAAGAGGTTAGATCCAGAGAATTCAGTGGATCCGGAAGCAATTTGAAACAAATTTGCTTTCGTTTTCACTGACTTGAGACAAGAAGCCTTGTCTCGTTGATAATTTCGCGCGACACCCACTTTACACAGAGCTTTCATATACTCAAATATAAGGACTACTAAAAATAAATCCTTTATATCTCCATTAGATGACTTCAGTAATCTGTATGTTGGGTTGTATAACTGCGATTTGATTACGCTATATGGCGTTAGAACGAAAAGATTTCGTATTAAAAAAAAAACTTCTCACACAGTTTTGTGATTATTTTTCTCAGTATTGTTTGAGAGCGCGTCGAAGATGAGAGCATCTCTATATTCTATATTTTACAGTTTTTCTTCAAAAAAGGCGAAAACGCAACAGGGGTAGCTGAAAATGTGAACAGTGTTTATAGTCCTGATACGAGTACTGTGCCAGCAAATTATGCGCAATTTGGATTTGGATTTGGGTTGCGTTCAAAATGCACCGTGCTCTGGAAGGCAAATTATGCTGGATACAACAACAAAATCGATCTTTTTTTGAAACGGATGGTTACTGGTGATGAAAAGTGGGCCACTTACGACAACGTCAAGCAAAAATGGTTTTGGTTGAATCGCGGCTTATGAACTATACATCCGAGTTGATACTTTGATATCTTTTCAGCCTATCTGGTAGTTTTTATGTCGAGCATAATATTTGCTTATTAAAAGGGTATATTGTTTAAGAATTATTATATAAGTTTATTATTATATATTAGGAATGATACCCTTACATTTGCCAAATATGTTTCTAACACATAAACAAGGCACATGCAATTTGCCACGAAGCTTGTAACACCCAGAAGGGAACGTCGGAGACTCTGTAAAGCATATATGTATGTATGTATATAAATGTGCAGCGTGAAGAGCCGAGTCGATTTAGTCATGACTTTCTGTCTGTCTATATATATGCGAACAACTTGCTCAGTTTTTGAGGCATCGATCTGAAATTTTGATCACGTTCTTTTCTCCCCAAGAAGCTGACCATTTGTCAGAACAACCGACATGGGACCACTATACTTATAGCCGCTAATATGTATAATATATCAATATTAAATTTTTATGTAGAAAACTTGTTCATTTGGCAAAGCTTCAAACTGACCGATCAAAATCAAAATAAAGATCTTCGTTCCGTATTACATAACGATAATTCAACTTTAAGGCTGCTTATAACAAACAGCGTGGCTAGAAAAAACTAGTGAAAGGTTTCCCATTGGATACAAACCCTTGATTAGTTACATTTTCAACTGTGCAGGTGCAACCAAAGTAACGTTTTTTTATTCTGTTATTCATTTAATATTCAATTTAATTACTGATTTCGCTATTTACTATATTATTCATATAATATTATACAAATACATAAATTTGTATAATATAAATTCAAATATCAAATTTAATTATAAACTTCGCTATTCTCTTTCGTATTTCAAATCTAAGTACTTGAATACAGGGCTTTAGTTGTGAAATGAATCCATTAAGCTCTTGAAAGTAATTTGGAATCTTCGAACAAATAATGCATTGAATATCAATTCTAAACAAGAAAATAATCAATAATAGACACATATATACATTCACAGATACATATTCACATGTACGCACACACACATTAAAATGATATCAATAAAAATTTTATTTTGGTTTTCGATTTTTTTTGAATTTTGTGGGAGTGCACAATTGAGTTAACCGCAACACTCATTCTGAAATAAGTTTATATGTGGGTATGTATAAAAAATTCGAACGAAACACAGATGCACTTGTTACGTGCCCCTTTCACTACGCCATACTCCCATGAAGCAGCAATGCGGAACAGCATCTGCCGCTGGCTGACAACAAGCCGGGCAAGTGTCAAGTGTGTGCAGCTTATCTATTTATGCTTTTACTGTAATGAAGCAGCAATTAATGTACCAGCCATTCGCCGAATTTATGGACAAACCATGTATAGCATAAACATTAACTTCATAACACCCCCCAGAAATCAGTAACTGCCCTTTATCGACATTTAAGGTTGTGAAATTACAAACTAACTAAATTACTTAATAATAAAAATGAGTAGAACCGTTTTAAGAGGCGCAAGTGTAATAAGTGTTTACATGTTTTTATTTACATATGCATTTACTTTTTGACACCATTACACGTTTCATATGTTCATTTCTACACGCATACATACAACTATGCAAAATATTTGCTCGTTCGTACAGCTTTCTGTTCGCATTTCGTTGTTACAAGGTATGGAAGCCACGCCTATTTTAAACTAATAAAGTTAGCGTAAAAAGTTTTACGAGATAAAGTCGGTTGTACTGAATAAAATTCATTTTTTTTTTATCACTGGTAACTATCGTCCATAGACCATAAATGCTTTATGTTCAATGTTGCATATAAGGTCTAGTTAAATGAAATCCATCAAATATGCATTGTTTTGTTCGATAACAGTCGATTTTCACAAGCTTCACTTGTGTCATTATTTTCATTAACAAAATTATTCGCCATATACAGAAACAGATAGTAATCACTTGGTGCCAGTCCGGACTATACGATGATGCATAACAACCTCTCAACCAAATTCCAGAAGCCTTTGGAGAGTCACTATCGATGTGTGTGACCTTGCTTTTTGTCCTGGTGAATACAATTCCTATTCTATTGGTGAAAGCAGCCGTTTGTGGACGATTGGTTCTTTAAGACGGTTCAATTGTTGACAGTACAGGTTTGAATTAGGAGTTTGGTCGTTAGGAAGCGGTTCATAGTAGATGATAACCTGACATTCCCACCAAACACAAAGTAAAAGTTTTGTAACCTCCAATAGCCCCCATTTGCGGCCGGTTTATCGCGATTCGACCATGACCGTTTTCGCTTGACGTCGTCGTAAGCGAATCTCCTTTTATTGCCAATAACTATCCAGATAGAAATTCGATCCACGAAGTTTTTTTGTAAACTCGTGTGGCATCCATACATCGAGTTTTTTTTTATATCCAGCCTTATTTAAATGATTCTCAACGGTTTTTGTGCAATGTGTAGCTTCTGGGTAATCCAAACGGTTCTTAAATGACGATTGGACTCCACGATTTCCATTATTTAACTAATATTTTCGACAATTGGCCCTCCAGAACGTGGTGTATCTTTGACATCAAAATTATCGGAACTAAATCGACGTAACAAAAATTACGCATGACCATAAACACTATTCATATTTTCTGCCCCCTTTATGGAAGAAAAATGATAAGATATAGCGTATTTTCTCTTTGCTGGTTTCTATCTTTGTCACGTTCTCAAATAATACTGAGTCAAGTAATCATAAAACTGTTTGAGAAGCTTTTAATACAAAATCAAATCTTTCTAACGAATCTTTGAACAAATAATTATTTATTAGTTCCTCCAACCTAGGAAAGATATATTCTAATTTACTAAGTGAAACCTAACATGGGATATTACTTTAGTCAGAAGAGTTCGATCGATAAGTTGTTTGCTCAATACCGGGCCATTGATATGAGCACTGAAGATATAGCAAGCAGCCAGTGGACGCATAAAAAGCATTATTACGGATGAATACATCAAAAAAAATCTGCAAAATTATTTTAGATGGTCTGGCCCTTAGCGACCTTCACTTGTTCTCAAACTTCAAACGAATGCTCACTAGAAAACACAAATCTTCCGACAAGAATGGTATTGATAAGTTGCAAGAACCCTATAATCGGTGTATTCTGTATATATATTTCTATAACTTGACTTGTCATGCTATAAATCACACTTTCAATAAATCTTACCTTTAAATCATGTTTTAAGTAAGATCTCTTGTCATTGGAACTTTTTCTGTGTAGTGGCCTTAGATCCGCGCTAAATCCTGTTTTCGGATCCTGATCTCCATCCAACACTTCAACAAGGTACTTAATGTACAGTATAGCTAATTTCAGCGTTTTAATCTTAAAATAAAAATATGTATGTTATAACGATAAATTAAAATTAATACACCTTAGAGAGTACATATGTCGAACAAATCACGAACATCTATCCTAGAAGCATACCTCGGAGACCCTATAAAGTATACCTATGTATAAGTGACCAGCTGCCACCAGTGACGAGTCGGTTTAGTTATATCTGCTGTCTGCCTGAATTCCTACATATATGCGAACTAGTCCCTTAGTTTTTGAGATATCAAACTGAAAATTTGCATGCGTTTTTTTCTTCTCAAAAGCCTGCTCTTTTGTCAGTTCGATCAAAATCAAGTTCTTGTATGAAAAACTTTTTATTTGGCAAGATATCTTCACGAAATTTAGCTTAGACTATTGTCTATGGCAACGCTACAATCTTCGAAAAAAATTTTCAGATCCGGCCCCTATAGCATATGCTAATGTCATACTAACTGACCGATCATAATCAATTTTACAATCTCCGAACATACTCTTACATATTGTCTCAAAATCTTTCGGTGCAGCATAAGTAAACGTTTTCCTTGTTTTAATTACTAATAAATTATTAAAACTTCTTAAATTGGATTCTTCGAGGGAGTTATATAATATATAAATTGTTATTATAGAGATACATAACTGGTATGCAAAAATTTCTATACAAAATGGCGATTTTAATAATAGGTACGAACGAGGTTGGGTTCAATAACACTTTTCCGTTTCTACTAAAAGATATGTACATACATACAAGTACATGTAGATAAGATTGTGCATTTTATAGACCTTCCATATATGTATTGTATTATATATACACTTTCATGTTTTGAAATATACAAATTAGATCTACTTTCAGGTAAACAATTTTTGTATTGTATATACTCGCATGTATATAGTCGTAGATATTAACAAAAGTGGTTTGCCTCTTTCAAGTGGATACTTTAAGACGAATCTAGAGCTGTAGTAATGCACTGCATTGTAATTGCGAATACACATACACATACGCGTATTTGCATCAATAAGTTTAATTCCATAATTTTGTTGGTCCTAGAAGATATAGTATAGACACTTATATGCAAGTATGTATTATAATTACCTTGGATAATTTCGTATCTGATGGTACATTGGGAATTTTTTCTCGTAAACATGTAAAAGCATTGTTGATACTTTGTGTTCTTCTTCGTTCTTTCTTGTTGGCCGTATTTCTTTTCTTAATTATACGCACTGCAGGCACAGCAGTAACTTCTTTCGTTGAAGTGGGTGTGAGTAAAATCTCATGAAAGTCTTTTCCCGTTTCTAGAAATAAATGTTGGAATAAAGAAAATATTAAGCACTATAATTGTAATGTATATACGAGTAAAGTCAATTGTTTCCGGTACGAATAGTGACACATTAAAATTACTACATGAATATAATATAATTTTCTAAAAGGTTTATTTATTAGTATGGCTGGTTTTCGTGGTACATTGTGAAACTGTGTTGGAAATTTACAAATAGAAATATATTTCTTTTTTTGCTATATTGGGACATATCGTTCTGGACACTTGCAAATTTGATAAAAGGATTGGGAGCTGCTGTCATAGCTAAGCCGGCGATCCCGCGATCAATAGAGCAGTCTCTATCAGAAAACTTTAGCCGCATTTATAAAAGTAACTAAAAAATACTATCCTTTGTGAGAGGGAATTGGCACAGATAACTTAGCTAAGCTTGTAAAAATAGCAGCTGTCATAATTTAGACAATATAATATTCCAACTGTGAATCGCTGTTGAAGCACGACAAAATTGATTCATTTTTGAAGCAGAATGTTATTGGCAATAAAAAGTGGGTCGCTTACGAAAACGTCAATCGCTGTGAGTCGGCGTAAACGGCTAAAGTTTTGTTATGTGTTTGGTGGGATTGGCAGGGAATCTGCTCTACTACATTCAAACTCTTAATTCGGACTTACATATACTGTCAACAATGGAACATCTGAAGTAAGCAATCGGCAAACCCCGGCCGCTTTGGGTATTGTCCTAAGAGAGAGAGAAAGTATGTTCTATTAAGACAACGCTAAGTCACACACATCGATAGTGACTCGTCAGAAGCTCCGAAAACTTGGACCGGACCTGGCACCAAGTGATTATTACTATTCCTATCTATGGCGAATGATTTTGCTGGTGAAAAATTTGCCTAAGAGAAGCTTGTGATAATCGATAATCCCGATTTGTTGCCAATAGGGATGAGAGTTTTTATAAAAGTGACATTATAAAATTACGCATAAAATAACAAACGGTGCATATTTTACCTTAATTGGTCATTCTCTAATTTCTCAAATTCTAATTACGCCAAATAAAACTTTCAATTTAATGCAAAAACAAAAATATATTAATTTTTATTACACTCTATTTACAGTAGAACTTAAAAAAAAATTAACTTGACTAATCGGAGATGAAATATTGGCTATGTTTAAACAATTTTTCATAAACTTTTTGCGATATTGACTAGGTGAAGACGATTTTTAACCAACCGCAGCCGATCTCTCATATATTGAGACTCCACTTTAAAGTTTTTATATTATATATACATACTTTAAGAAAGTTGTCTCTATGGCAAATTGTAGAGCAGACGTTAATTAAAAAGGAGATATTGCCATTGCGATTTTCCTCAACGCGACAAAAAAATTATTTGGCAAGTTTAAATATGGATTCCACCATTCTCGAAATCTAAAGTAGCAAATGGATCTGATTTACAAAAGACGAAAGGAAATTCTTCGAAGTGCTTTCTGATAAAAATCTGTATGTTGGTTTTACATAACTTACTTCCTTAAAGTATTTCTTACCATCAAATTTGGGTGATGATTCAGAACAACATTGTGACGACCGATAAAATGAGTTGGAAGTTAAGTTTGCTCCCGAACAAGCGTTTGATATATAGCAGCCTGGATTGTTACTCGAGTCAGAACAATATGAAGCACTCCATTGTTCTAAAAGCATTACAAAAACGAATAATTATACAAGTCCCACACACGAGATAGATGTATGTACACACATATAAACTGATTATTCACTACATATGTACATATGTACCATATGTACAAAAATAGTTATATTTTTAAAAACTAAGCAAGAATTGTTGTTTTTAATGGTTGTAGCTTAGAGTATCATAAACTAATAATTGGATTTAAGAGCTTTAAAAACATAAAAAATTCAGCAGTGATATCGTCGACTAAATTGTAGATTCAAACTGCAACCCATATTGATCGCCCACAACACCTCTCCGTGCATCTAATTAAAATCGGCGTAATTTGCTTGATTTTGATTATTCAGTTAGTATGGCAACTATATGCTATAGTAGTTCGATCTAAAAATCTTATTCAGAGATTGCGGCATTATTTAAGACAATAATCCATGCCAAATTCCATGAAGATATCTTATCAAATAAAAAGTTTTCTATACAAGAACTTTATTTTCATTGTTCAGTTTGTATAGCAGCTATATGCCATACCAGTCCGATATCGGCGGTTCCGACAAATGTACAGCTTCTTGCAGAGAAAAATCCATGAGCGAAATTTCACATCAATATCTCAAAAACTAAAGGACTAGTTCAACTCAGCTCATCACGCTGATAATTTATATATATATGCAATTCAAAAGTTTTAGGACTTTTATTACAACGTTTTGCACGTTCAAGAAGGTTATCGAATGACTTTTTTAGGTCATTTTTCGGTATAGCGTTGAGGATGGCATCAACGTCAGCATCGCGGTTTCCTTTCATTGCCAAATGTAGTTTTCCGAACAAATAAAAATCGCAGGGTGCCATATCAGGCGAATAGGGTGAATGGTTGATGATATGAATGCGATTTTTGGTCAAAAATTTGGTCTTGAATGTTGAATTCTGAGGTCTTTTTCGTGTTGTTTCAAAATGTGCGGGACAAATCGAGCACAAACCTTTCTGAGGCCCAAATTTTCTGTCAAAATACGATAAATCGACGCTGCGGATATTGATAATTCCGATTCCATATATTTAAGCGATAATTTCGGCTCTTTTTTAATGAATTCACGCACAATTTCCGTGTTTTTTTCGTTTACAACATCTTTTGGCCGGCCCGAACGTTCGTCGTCTTCTAAGTCCTCCCGTCCCTCTTAAAAACGTTTAACCCACTCGTGAATACGGCTAGGTTTTGGTAAAAGTTTTACCAAGTTTAAAACAAAACTTAATGTTGGCTCTTTGTTCTTTGTTCTTCACTAGAAGCCGCGTTGTTTAAAAAGTCCTGGAACTTTTGAATTGTACCTTGTATTTTATAGGGTCTACGACGTTTTCTTCAGGGCCAACTTAATATACCCTGTTCAAGGTATAAAAACGTCCTATTCCGTGCTGTCTGAAGCAGTAGAGACAACACTTCTCTGTTTGAAATGTTTAAATTTGGTTGTTCGTGAGCGGAAGTAACAATTACATTTAAAATGTTATCGAAAATTAACATTTGAAGTTTCAACACCAAAGCATTTGGTTATCTATGAATTTAAGAGGTATTTAACAAGTTGAGGATTCGAATTGTTTTGGGTTTCGAAAATTTTAATTAAATCAGTTTATTCAAAACAAAACTTTGCACAATTTATTTAAGTAACTTGAATATTTAACTGAATAAGCTTGAATATTTTATATAATATGTGATATCGTACACTATAAACCTGTGTTAAATACAATATCGTCATTTGAATTTTAATTTATTTCGCATTTTCCTACAGCATAATCATAATGTAACTATTCAAAAAAAAACAGATTGTACAATTGTTTTATACCTTGAACAGGGTATATCAACTATGTCGTGAAACTGATAATACCCAGAAGAATACATCGGAGACCCTATAAAGTGTATATATGTATAAATGATCAGCGTGACGAGCTGAGTCGATTCAGCCAAAGCCGTCTGTCTGTCCGTCAGTATATACGCGAACTAGTCCTTCAGCTTTTGAGATATCGATTTGAAGATTTGCACACGTCCTTTTATTTCCAATAATCTGAAAATTTGTCGGAATCGCCGCCGGACCACTATAGCATATATGGTACATAGCTGCCGTACTAACCGAAAAATCAAAACTTCTGTATGGATCAAAACTTTTTTATTTGATGAGATATATTCACGAAATTTCTATCTCTAAGGTAATGCCTCAATCTCCGACTGAATTTTTTTAAATCGGACTACTATAGCATATAGATGTCAACTGAACGATCAAAGCCAAGTTCTTGTATGGAAAACTTTTTTATTTGACAAGATATAATCACAAAATTTATAGCATATAGCTGCCATACGAACTGACTTATCAATATTAAGTTCTTGTATAGAAAATGCATGCAAATTTATACAAATAAGCAATAAATATTTTCAGCATAGTTTTTCAAAAGTTTAAACACTTTCACTTCACTAATATCGTTTTTCTAAATTTGTTTAGTATACATACAAATTTAGAAATGTATATACAATACATATGTATATAATCAATTAAATTATCATAAATATTTTACTATTTCAAATTCAATTTTAAAAAATCACTAAAAACCACTACTTTTTAATTAACAATTTTAACACCACGTACGTTCAATAATTGAAACATCGTTAAGCCGCAGATCGTTAAAATATATATTCTCATTATTGTAACAATTTGGTGAATCTCGACATATTTGGGAATCGTAACGCGCCATCATTTATTTTCACTTAACACAATTTTGTATATACTTTTAGTAAAATTTTGCAAAATTAATTTTCACTGCAGTGTTTTTTTTTGTTTTGTTTTAGAAGTCCATATTTGCGCTTATTTCTCGACCTTCGTGTTCAAACGCTCTTAAACGAATGAAAAAACAATTTACTTCTAACGTCACGGGTAGGTAAATTGTGCTGTTTAAACTGTAAATAGTGTTCGGAACATAATTCCACGCACTTGCACAATCAGCCAATCAGAACTCTGCTATGGCTGCAGCTTAAATTGATTGGTTATTTCTTTTGAGTGTGTATAGTTAATGGCTTACTTCGCGCAGTGGTGTTGCTGCGATATTTGTAGGTAGTTCACGAATCGTATAATTTTTCGTACTTTAATAGTCTGTTATTTAAATTGCGTGATTCTAAAGTCGTAGTGCAGATTTTAAAATGATAATTTGTGTAAAACGATTCGATATTTACTTCATAAATTTCATGATTTTAATTCTTATTTGATCACATTTGAAATATGATTGTTTTAATATTCGTATTTGCATAATTTTAATAATTATTAAAAATAGGTTTGTTTTTGAAGTGCTAGTAGCAGCTATCAGGAAGAAAAGAATGCGAAAATTTACCAATTACTCTCACAATGAGCAAAATAACGGAAAAGTAAAGACACGGAAAACTAGCAAAAATTAGTAAGGAAATACCAAAATGTTCTTTTTAAAAATCATATCATATTAACACATTATTTTCACAATTCAAAACTATTAAAATGAACAAAATCAAAGCAAATAGGTCATATCCCTAAAAATTACTAAATTTTAGCAATTGATTGCTAAATATAGGTTTGTATCTTAACTGCTAACTATCGCTAGCTAGTAAAGTTATTGGAAAAGCGTTTCTTAGCCCAAAAAACTAGCAGAAACTAGCAGAAGAGAGTACAAATTGAGAGCGTAAAAAGCTGAGGGAGCTGCCAGTTTCTGCTAGTGAAATTTCTACTAGCAGAAAATAGCTACTGCCATATGAAGAAACGATATTTAACGCATATGCTTTGATTTTGTTTATTTTCATTGATTGGAATTGTGAAAACGAAAATTCTATTGATTAATTTTTAATGTTGATATGATGTGAAAAACAACAATTTGATAGTTTCTGCTTGTTTTCCGTTACTTTACTTATTCCTTATTTCACTCCTTGTTAGAGTAACTCTTAATCTTTCCCTTAACTGGTGATAGCTTAACAAACCTAATGTCTAGGTAAACAAAATCAGCTGATCAGTTATCAAATGCAATTACAACATTAAAATTCCAGATTTACATACATACATACATATGTACCTATTTACTTTGCGAAAAGAAATACAAATATAATATTATATAATATTAATTACTTCATAACATGTTTATAGAAGGGTGAACTATAATTCGACTTGTAAACTCCCTACTTATTTTGTGTATGGATAAAAATTACATATGCGTATGCAATGGATAGCATATATGTGGACATATTATAGGTAGAAAAAGTCTGCACTCACCAATCCGTGGAATGTGTTTCAATAAAAATATTAATAAAATATATGCGTTTTTGAAGTTCTTTTCAGAATATCATATACGCATGCTAATAGCATTACAGTCGCCGAATTTCATGGAATTCCTATGCGCGTTTGCATAGTTAACGGCATTTTTTGAATTATACTAATGGAGAATAAGCAGAAAAAGTATAAATAAGTGTTGATGAGCGGAAAATATAATTAAAATTAAGGGAGGACGGTAAAAGCTTTCGTGAAATTGGACGAGTTCTCAACAGAACGGAGTCATCAGTGCGATACGTCATCCAGACTTTCAAAAAAACGGGAATTATTACTTCAAAGCCTCGATCTGGACGTCCGACAGATCGGGAGACATGCAAAGTTGTATCTCTTGTGAAGGTTAATCCGCGTTTAACCTCTTCCCAAATAGCAGAAGATGTAAAAATACCATTTAAAAAAACAATATGCAGCGACACAGCAAGAAAAATATCAAAAAGGGTTGGATATCATGGGCGAGTGGCACACAAAAAGCCATTCATTTCACTAAATAACCGCATGAAGCGCATTGCATTCGCAAACGAACATATAACCAAGCCTATATCTTTCTGGGAATCAGTTTAATGGACGGATAAGACCAAATATAGTATATTTGGAAAAAAAGAAAAACAAATGGTGTGGCGAAAAACTGGGACGGCCTTTGAAGCACGAAATCTTACTTCAACCGTAAATCATGGGGTGGAGTTAAATTGAGAGGGTGTATGGCAGCAAGTGGAGTTGATGCTGACAAATTAGGATTGCCAAACGTGTTTTGTTTCCAACAGGACAATGATCCTAGGCATACAACGGAACTTGTTCGCCTTTGGCCTTTTTACAATGCTACAAAACAGCTACATTCATCTCCACAATCACTTGACCTCAATCCAATTGAGCATTTATGGGCTCTATTAGAGCGCAGAATTCGCACACATACGATTAGCAGCAAAAAAATGCTCAATACCGTTATATTGGACGAATGGAGTAAAATGTCAGCCCAAGATACGAGAAAATTAGTACATTCCATGCCTAAACGTCTAGCAGAAGCTCTAAAATTTCGTGGCTACCCCACCAGCTATTAAACTTTTTATAATTACTTGATATTTTTGTGTTCTGGTTGATGAACGGAGACTTTTTCTGTTTAAGTTAATTGTTTTTAAAATCAAAATGAACTCTGTGGATTTTGTTTATTGAATAATTTGAAAAAAAAGCGAAAAGATATGATTTAATAACAAAAAAAAAATTTCTTCATTGGTCAATTGGTCAAACTTTTATTTTAGTTCAAAAGATTTTGTACCCAGTGAGCGGATACTTTTTCAACCTAGTGTATGTATGTATGTACATACATGTATATGAAGCTACAATCGCGGTGACGCATGGTAGATCATATATTACTTGGGCTTTTTATACCCTGAACAGGGTATATTAAGTTTGCCACGAAGTTTGTAACACACAAAAGCAAACGTCGGAGACCCTATAAAATATATTCATAAATGATCAGCATGATGAGCTGAGTTGATTCAGCCATGTCTATCTGTCTGTATATATACGAACTAGTCCCTCAGTTTTTAAGCTATCGATCTGAAATTTTGCACCTGTCCTTCTTCTCACTAGAAGCTGCTCACTATCGGAATCAAGTTCTTCTTTGGAAAACTCTTTTATTTGACGAGTATCAGTTATAGTATATGGATGTATGTGTACAAAAAGTCAATTAAACGAGGAGCTATTAGAGCTAGGGTCGCCAGTGGTCGAAATTCTACCCATAGAAAAAAAATTATTAACAATCTAAAAAAGTTGTAGAAAACAATTTACAAAAATAAATTTTTTATTTATAATTTATTCTCGTGCAAAATTACCAATAATAGAGAAAGTAATGGGATATCGACAAAATACGCGAAGAAATTATCTCTCGAAATAAATTAACTATCGAACAATGCACTTCAAATTAACCTAAATATTTCTAACTCACCAAAATAAAATGTACGTTGACAATTAAATTTTCTTTAAAAGTGGCAACAAACTAACCTCATGCAAAGAAAATGGGAAAAAATTCAATCACTTACTATTTACTTGTTGACATTGTCGATTCAACCAACTACCTTAAAAAAATTAACTATCACACAATGCACTTGAAATTAATTCAAAAAATATCAAAGGTTTTTTCCACTTCAATGTGTTTTTTTCACAAACAATAATTGAAATTTAATATGCGTTAAAAATGTAATTGTAACAGAATTCAGTGTTGCAACACGCAAAGTCCAAACACAATTAAAAGTGAAAAAAATCGCAACCACAAATCCGCCGTAAACATCACACAATTATCCGATATACATATGTAGGTATTTACAACTTATGCAGAATAGCAGAAATGTATTTCTGTATACGGCTGTGTTAAGTGTGACGCGTAAAGAAGAAATAACATCGACCAATGAAAACGCGCTACCGAGATTGTAGTTCGCTAAATTTGCGCCAACGTATTTTTACCTGTGTTCCTGTTGACGTACATGCGAAAAAATAACTTCTTACAATAACACGTCTGCTCCTTTCCAACGGTAGAAATTTTATCCATGTATGTATGTCAACGGTAGTCAAAAAGGAAACACAAACTTTTTCGTTAGCGTAATTATACAAGTATATAGATATATTGCGACATTTAAAACCTTATTAAGATCAATTTATATTTATTTTCATCATTTACATTAATTTTCCGTGTTACAACTCATATAATCTATACATATACACTGAGTTTCACACAATAAAATGTTGATACTTATTTTGAAATTTATTTAATATCAGCTAGGTGGACAAATTGATTACCAAAACATGTAGCTAAGCAAAAGTAAAAAATGAAAATTGACAAATCTGCCATAATGTTTTGTAGTTTTGTGACAATATCTAATGCATGCACGATTTCTTTGGATCGTAACCCAAAGATCACTAACATATTGATCATTGGATTACGCTGTTTTTGTTGCCGAAATATTGTAAGATCAGATAAAATAACCAAGGCAACTGGTATTATCACAAAGAACGTTTTCCCTTCACTTTCATTTAGTATTATGGATGTAATATATGCAACTGTCACAGCTAACACCACATGCAATTTATATTTTAAGAACGGTTTTTCTCTTTCTTGCATATCTTCTTGATTTAAACTGCTTTCAAACCCTTTGAATGTGTCTTCAAATTGTTGAAATTGTTGAAACGGCATTTGCAAACTTTCTGGAATATCGGGTTCAACTTCTGGATCCGAATATTCACAAGTTTCTTGTATCTGATGACCTAAAAATTTAGTTAAAAAAATGAAAATATAACTATGTTAATATATACAACATGTAATCAAGCTTACCAGAACGTTGATGCACCAAATCATTGTCACCATCTCCACCTTGCCTCAAGCTTAATTTTTCTAACCGACTTTTGGCATTCTCAAGAATCTTTTTCCTTCTTGCCTCTCGCCTAAGTTTGACCCTTTCTTGTAATTCATCGACTTCAGGTGATTGCTGCAATTCCATGTTATATTTTTTATAAATTTTCTTAAACGTCTAATAAATGTAATTTCACTTATAGTGATTACAACATAAATAAATACAACTCGATATTTTTCAATTCCTACAAACGTCAAACTGGCAAAAGTTATCGCTCGAAACTCGTTAACATTTTTGCGACAGAGTGGTAATCGTAACTATTTTTGTAAAAGTATAATTAAAATACATGATTGAAGTTGTATTATGGTTTTTATTAACTTACAGCATTTTAACTCGATACATATGAACTAAATATAATTTACAGATAAACAGACATTCAATACACATTTGCCGAACTTAATATAACCAATAACATTAAAATAGTGTTGGTCAGAGTTGTTGAATATCTATCAGCTGATTTATAATTTTTTGTCATGTTATTCAATGTCATATAAAATATATATAAATAAACTCAAATATTTCATATAATACAGTTTTAACTTATGAAATATTTTACAATATCTTTTATAGCGTTTTTATACAATATTTTATGTCACCCAGTGTTCCTAAATTGTATACCAAATATAAACTAAACACGCAAAACTACCCTGTTTTTCTTTCTCTAAACGTTTTTGGATTATCACATATATGCCAAATGACTTTTAGGTTTTTTAATTCCACTAGTAACGGAGCGAAGAGATTGTTGAACAATTTATAATTAAAAAGTTTAAGTGAAAATGCCTGCATATAAAGGTAAATAGTATATATTAAAGCAATCATATTACTGAAAAAAAATTTGTTCTATAATATGTTCTACAGTAAAAGTAAAATGGGGACGTGAACTTTTTCCGGACATAGAAGCAAACACAGACGAAGAACCATTGTTATTCAAAGCCCAATTATTTGCATTAACCGGAGTGCATCCCGATCGTCAAAAAGTAATGTGTAAAGGAGGTATTTTAAAGGATAATGAATGGAACCTTCAATTGAAAGATGTAGGCAAACATATTTTCTCCTCTATTAGAAATATAATAAAGTAATTACTAATATTAAAAATTGAATATATAAAAGGGTGCAACTGTGCTACTCTTGGGATCTAAAGAACAGGTTCCCGAAGAACCAGTAACTCCTGTAAAATTTATAGAAGATATGAATGATGCAGAAATGGCAACAGCAGTAAGTAAATTATCAAGTAAAATAAAAAATTTGAATGATAAAATATGTGATAAAATTCTTAAGATGGAACTGCCTGCTGGTCTTACGAATTTAGGAAATACTTGTTATATGAATGCAACCGTACAATGTCTACATGCAGTGCCTGAGCTACGTGACGCTCTTGATAAATACCGAGTGGACAGTGAAGATGCCGGTTCGATGTCAATTGCAATGGCTTCAGCTATGAAATTTTTATTTAAGCAAATGGAACGGGGCAGTACAGTGACGCCAATAATTTTGTTACAAACGTTACATCGGGCATCGCCACAATTTTCACAAGTTGGTGAGAATGGCACCTATCGGCAGCAGGATGCCAATGAATGTTGGTCAGAATTACTGAAAATGTTGCAGCAAAAAATTCCAGCTTCTAATGACAAAGCAATTGAAGGAAGCGACGTTAAAAAGTACAAGTAAGAATTAATGTCAAACAAATTTTCAACCTAACTGACACGTCGGTATAAAAATTGCCATTACTGAATTTTTTTTAAGTTCATTTATAGAACAATACTTTGGTGGTTCCTTCGAAGTTAAGATGAGCTGTGCCGAAACCGAAGATGAGGAGCCAACTATAGCTAAAGAGCAATTCCTTCAACTTAGCTGTTTTATATCAACGGAAGTAAAATATATGCATAGCGGTTTGAAATCGGTATAATTAAAATTTAAAGATATGACCGAACTTTATTTTAAACAATTGTATTCTCAATGTTTAGCGAATGAAAGAGCAATTGGTAAAGCGATCCGAATCTTTGGGACGAGATGCTAATTATATTAGAACGGTATGTAAAAAAAGAGAACTCATTTTTACTGCTTTATGATATATTGTATATATATTTTTTTTCAAATTTTTTTTTGTTCGAATTCTTCACAATTAATAAATCTTTTATTTCTTCAGTCTTTAATCAGTCGCCTACCAGCATATTTAACAATACAATTTGTTCGTTTTCAATACAAAGGAAAAGAGGGTATTAACGCGAAAGTTTTGAAAGACATAAAATTTCCAATCGAATTTGATGCATTTGAATTATGTACCCCGGAACTGCAAAATAAGTTATGTCCTATGAGAGCTAAGTTTAAAGAAGTTGAAGACAAAAATTTGGAAGGCAATATTAAAGCTATCGCTGAAGATAAAATTATTCCAACTGAAGTAGAAAAAAATGTAGAAACTGAAAACTATTGGTTCGAAAATGATCCAGGCAGCAATAATTCAGGATTCTATACTCTTCATGCTGTATTAACACATAAAGGACGTTCAAGTTCTTCTGGTCATTATGTAGCTTGGGTAAAACACTCCGGTGATATCTGGTTTAAATTTGATGACGATGTGGTTACTTCCGTAACTACTGATGATATACTACGCCTATCAGGAGGTGGAGATTGGCATTGTGCCTATGTACTTTTGTATGGACCAAAGTTGCTGAAGAAACAATGAAATTAAATAATAAATGCAAATATACGTGTGAGACTCCTGACTGAAGCTTTTTCATTAAAATTTAATGATGAATTGTGATGCATCAGATTCAAATTTGTTATTAGTACATAGTTTACCGAAATTTAGATCAGTAATAGTTGAAAAAAAACTTTGTGTACACGCTGATAAAATTTTTTAATTGTGACTGCCAAATTACTAGTAAATTATTGTTACTGTTCTCCTAGGGTGATTTTCACGTAATAGTGGGTAGACTTATGGCCGATTCACATAGAACATTCGCTTTGCATCAAACATTTATTTTGACAGAAAAATTTGATATATGCTTTTGAAAGAATACGAAAGCGCAGCAAGTCGAAACAAAATGTAGGCAACTCTGATCTTTTTATGCTTTGCCAAGCAACAGTCGCCATTTTTATTAAAGAAAAACATTGGAAGCTAAGCGTTTATTCTGGCATATTCTTTGATTTCTTCGTTTCGTTGTAAAAGTATGAATTGTCAAGCAAAGCGAGGAAAGTTGTATGTGAATGGGCATTAATAAACTAACGGCCGTTGATATCTATTTCGATCGTAACGTACTTGTAATCGTATTGTCGATTGTTTATGTGTAACGTCTTCTAGAGGCAAATATAAAATTCGCCTGTTGTCAAATAGTGAAAATTACACAGATCTCAAATAATATCGTTTATATGTTTCGTCTTTGTAGGGTTAAGATTACAACACGGATTGTGAATATTATATTGAAATAAGAAGAAGCTTCTTAATCACATTTGTTCAGCAGATAGTAACGTTTGGGTAGCTAATTTTGAAATAAACAATTTAATATGTCTGAAAATAAGAAAATTGATATATCTGGAGACGGTGGCGTATTGAAAGAAATTTTAAATGAAGGTCAGGGTGAAGAATACCCATTAAATGGTTGCAAAGTTTCTTTGCACTATACGGGAAAATTGGTCGATGGAACTGTATTCGACTCAAGTGTAGGTCGCGAACCTTTTGAGTTCGATTTGGGAAAAGGTAAATTTCTAAAAGCTTCTATCAACGCACATAAATTAATTATATTTTGCCTTTAGGTCAAGTTATCAAGGCTTTTGATATGGGTGTGGCGACAATGAAATTAAATGAAAAATGCTTACTAACATGTGCTTCAGACTATGCTTATGGTGCGGCTGGAAGTCCTCCGAGCATTCCTCCGAATTCAACATTAATATTTGAGGTATGAATATATTGTATATATAAAGTTAGTGTTTGATTATTCATAACGAATAAATTCAATGTAATTGATTTTTTTTATGTAGCTGGAAGTCCTTGGTTGGAAAGGAGAGGATGTTAGCCCAAATAAGGATGGTAGCATAGAGAGGTTTATTATGGAGAGCAGTGATAAGAAACGTTCACCTGCCGAAGGTTCTCTTGTTAAAGGTAAAGTAAATTATATATACATTTATACAAATATAAGTATGTATATTATATATATTTTTATACAATTATAACTAATAACTACGTAATGAAAACAAAACAAATTCTGTCATCGGGAACTTATTAGTAATTTAATATTTGAACCTTATAGCATCCGATCGGTAATGCGTTCCTTAAAATTTTGTAAATGTTCCAATTTTTTTCCGTTATGACATATATTTCAATAATTTCCTTCGACAGTTCACTTGATTGGAAAATATAATGGAAATACTTTTGAGGAGCGCGATGTAGAATTTGATTATGGTGAAGGTTGTGATTGTGCTGTTATAGAAGGAGTTGAGATAGCACTGGAGAGAATGGCTGTTGGAGAAATGTCAAGGTAACTAATATTTATTAGATATAATTTTAATTTTTATATTTTTAATTAAAAGTTATTCATAAATTAATAAGTATTAAGTTTGTCGGATTCTAACATAAAAAAACAAGAAAAAACGTTAACTTCGGTTGCACCGAAGCTATAAAGGGTATTACAGGCACAAAGGTTCCTTACAATAACTTGATTCAGATCTAATTTCGTGAATCAGCAATAAACAAAAAATTTTTTTTCCAAGCAGGCACTTTACTCCGATCGTTCAGTTTATATGATAGCTATATGCTATGTCATCCGATCAAAACAATTTCTTCGGGAATTATATTGTTACCTTAAAAAATAACTCATGCCAAATATCGTGAAGATATTACGTCAAATAAAAAAGTTTCCCATACAAGAGCTTGCTTTCGATTGTTCAGTTTGTATGGCAGCTATATGCTATAGTGGTCCGATATCAGCTGTTCCGACAAATGAGCAGCTTCTTGGTGATAAAAGGGCAGGTGCAAAATTTCAGATCGATAGCTTAAAAACTGAGGGATTAGTTTGCATATATACAGACGGACGGACGGACGGACGAACAGACGGACATGGCTAAATCAACTCAGCTCATCATGCTGATCATTATTATATATATTTTATAGGGTCTCCGACGTTTCCTTCTGGGTGTTACAAACTTCGTGGCAAACTTAATATACCCTGTTCAGGGTATAAATATATTTTTTGTGTAAACCACAATGCGCCAAAAATTTATATTGTATGATAAAGAAGTTTGCGGTTTTGAATAAACAATGATAAAAACTCGTAGGTTCTTCTTATACTATTACATATATATATATAAAGTTATAACAACTTGCTTCCTAAAAATACATAAATATGACTGTATACATATTTTTATAGAATAAAAATTCAAGCAAAATATGCGTTTGGAAGTAAAGGAAATGATGCGTTTAAAATTCCACCAAACTCTACTGTCGAATATATCGTCAAACTTATTGATTGTGAAAAGGTACGTTTTTATATATTTTTTTTTTATATTTGAGATCATGGTTGTTATCAATGTTGTTGGTATTACTTTTTACTTTAAGGGAATAGAAGAATGGAAATTGTCAGATGAGGAAAGATTGCAACAAGCTGAATTATATAAATCTAAAGGAACAAAATATTTCACTAAACAAAACTTTTCTTTGGCTATAAAAATGTATAAGAGCTGCGTGGATATTATTTCAAAAATTGGTAAGAATTTAATATAAATACATAAGTATGTCCCATAAAATCGTAAATAGGTTACTATGTATAGAAAAAATTTAAAAAACTACAAACAATTTTTTAATCCTTTAATATTTTTAATCAATTTGCAGACAATGATGTATCAAAAAAGTTGAAGATAGCCTCAAACAGCAATATAGCTTTGTGTTACCAGAAAACCAATGATTATTTCGAAGGAAAACAAGCGGTATAATTTTTAGAAATTTTAATATTTAAGAAAATAATAATGTGCATATGTATCCCTATTTTATTAGTGTATTGAAGCTCTTACATTAGATCCTCTAAATATAAAAGCACTTTACCGTCGGGGACAATGTAATCTAGCTATAAATGAATTTAATGAGGCTCTTGAGGATTTTGAAAAGGTATGTGCAAAAATGAGTAAAAAAAAATGTTGTGATTAAAAGGACTATAATTATTATATGCAGGTAATCGAATTGGAGCCTACAAACAAAGCTGCCATAAATCAAATACAAATTTGCAAACAACGAATTAAGGAGGCTAACGATAAAGAAAGAAAAATTTATGCAAATATGTTCAAAAAATTATCTGCAGCTGATAAACAGGTAAAATAGACAAACTATAATTGAAAAAGAAAAATATAGTTTAAGTCAAAGGTACTTATAAACAAATAACCTTTATTTATAATATCAATTTGTTTTTCGTTTTAAGTAACTTGTGATTTGTAAATTTTTATATAGCCAACACCGAGTACTGAACCTGATGTTTTAACGAAATGTGGTGAATGGACAGATGAAGACGCAAAGCGCGAAGTCGATTTGGCCTTCGAACGCGATAATAATATTGTTATGATTTAAATAAATTGCAAATTGAAATTGAAAATATTTGGTGTAGTTAATAAAATTAAATAAATAATAATATAAGAGCGTATTTTATTTCACATTACTTAGGGTCATCATTTCATAGTGTATATGTGTATTATGTTATTTGTCAGAGTGACAAAGCACCGATGTACAAACATATCGATATGCATTATATGTATATTATGCATTTTAATAATTTTAGATATGTTAATAAAAAGTGGACTTTGCAGTAATAATAATTTTAAACTTTCTAATATATTTTCAAGCCCTCGAAAAGTTCGAGGTGGAATCGAACCTCAAACACCTCATTTTCAGTCTTCTTTGTGACAACTGTCGTAGCGGAGTGGGGTAGTGCCAAGTTGATAAGGTGAAATACCAAGGGCTTATCCTTGATAGAAAGCTTTCTTGAAGGCCGAACTTCGAGGAGAGAGTCAAAATGGCATCGGTCGCCTTATATTGCTGCAGGGGAGCTATAGGGAAAAGGTGGGGATTCTCACCAAAGGTGGTGCTCTGGCTCTACCTAACCATAGTCAAGCCAATATTGTTCTATGGTGTGTTCGTCTGGTGGGGGGCGCTCGAAAAGACTACCCTGGCTAAAAAGCTTGAGCGAGTCCAAAGAGCGGCGCTCATCGGAATCTCCGGTGCACTGCGAACCACACCAACGATAGCTCTCAACGTTATATTAAACGTAGCACCTGTGGACATTGCCGGTAGGTGCAGGGAACCTGGGCTTTTGAAGAGGTCCGAACAAGACACGCCACAATTCCCTCCTCCTTCAGCTGCATTCCAGAAAATTTGGATCACTGCCTCACAGCGGCCACTCGAGGCGGCTTTTTCTCTGCTCATATTCCGACGAGGGAGATGTGGAGGGGAAGAAGCCGCTGGAGAAGAGGCGCGGTGAGCTTTTTCACGGTTGGGTCGAAGCTAGGAGGGAAAGTTGGAGGGGGGTTTTCTGTAGAGCTCTCCGTCAATCTTTGCTTCAGGCTACCGGACCACTGTAGCGTTTTTCAGGCGGAAGTGGTCGCGATCAAGGTGGCGGTAGAAGTACGGTTACGAAGTGCAGCTTCGTTTAGAGAGGTGAGCATTCACTCCGACAGCATAGCGGCCGACGACCAGCTCCTGCGCGATCCTTCTGGCGGATAGTGATCCGCAGGAGGCCGGGGGATCTTCTCTTCTTGAACAAAGTTCACCTCGCCGCCATGGTAGGAGTTCTCACTGGACACTGTCCAATGGGAACTCATGCGGTGCGGCTTAGAATACTACCCGGTAGTTGTCAAAGCTGTATGGAGGAGAGTGAAGTGGAAACATCCCGGCACTTTCTCCTCCACTGTCCGGCTTTTGCTAGGTTGAGATTGAAACATCTCGGCAATCACACTTTTAGCGGACCAGAAGATTTGGCCGAAACAGATATTGGCCGTCTCAACAAGTTAGTCATAGGCACAAAGCGCTTTGTCGACATGCAAGTGTCTTTTAATTCGGCTCATAAGAGTTTTGGGTACCACAACAGACCGGCGTTTAAGCTGTCCAAGTGTGATCCTTCTTAGGATCGACCCTCTAACCTAATATACTTTCAAAGCCAGCAATGTATAAATCTACAAGTAACAAAAAAAAAAATGTTCCACTTGTACGGATTGCTTTAGGATTATACAATGGCCTTAAACCAAAAAACTTAAATTGTGTTATTTTTGCTTCCCTAATAATCCGATACATTTATAACATCGACTAATTTTTAGTATTTGGTATACCACATCCACATCTCTAATAAGTAGCATGCAGAAGTCAAATCGTCATCGGCTCAGGTAAACAAATTCAGCAACAATAAGTTATCTACGTAACTAAAGATTTTGTATATAGTGAGGAGCAGCTACTTAAAGCTATACAGAAGAAAAAAGAATGTAATGCAAAGGCCCAGAAAATAGTTGAGTTGTTTTTAGAAAGAAACATTGCAAGAGACTATTTCCTGACTCAGGTTAGTGCACAAAAACTATCAAAAGTGTCTTAACGATGAAAGCTTATATCAAAAATAAATACATTTTCGAAATGTACATACATATATCTTATAATATATTATTTAATTATCATAATTCTTTTTTTTTTTTTGATCAAGCTGAAAGATATCAATCAATGTCATTACGACGACATAGTAGACGAACGACACATTCTTCTAATATGTGGGTATCCGTTATGTGGAAATCTATTGGAAAAGTAAGTTTAAATTTTGCTAAATACTATTTTTACATTAATTAGTATTACTTTTACATAGAGTGCCTTCAAAAAAATATCAAATATCGACAACTATAAACAAGGTTTACGATATAACGGATCGTAAAAAGTTTTGTAGCTCTCAGTGTTTCAAAGCGTCCGAGTTTGTAAAATCGCAAATATTAGTGAGTCCGCTTTGGTTGAGACAAAATGAACAAATACCTGAGTTTAAATTGTTGGATGAAAAAAATACATAATTTGGTACCAATTTTTCCATAAGATAAATCATATAGAAAAACTTTTACAGAAGCGGCAAACTAAAAACAGAAACCATTTAAATATTGATAAGTAATATTGTAAGTTTTGATGTATAACGGTAACACATTAATTCCGATTTGAGCGATGAATACAAAGTATAAGAAGTTCAAGTGCAATGTTCCACTTGAATGTATAAGCGTATAATTTAAGGTTAAATTAGTGGTTTTCAGAAAGAAAATATATTGAAATCTTTCATATAATTTTTAAATAGTAACATAACCATACCAAACAGTTAAACCAACCAACCCTATGGCTAACACTGATAGGGTCACCATTAATTAACTGGCATAACTTCGCAAATCTATGGAATTAGTAATAAAATAATAAACAAGATGGCAGATGAAGAGATGTTCCAAATCTTTCAGAATATACTGAAAACTTAAAATTACAACAAAACAGTTGGCGAAATTAGCACTCAGGTAACTCAGGATGACCAGAATAAACGTACGACGAAGTTTACCTTCGTATGGCAACCTGCCCTTTTCACAGCCCGGAAAATATTTGTCGAAAAAAAACACCAAGTGTTGAAAAGAACGACCCACTTTGCGAGGATACATATACTTTGCCGCGGCTTATGATTCTGATAATGAGTTTAGAGAAATTAATAAATACAAGTAGTCAATCTGTCAGCATTGTCACAACAATTAAAGCAGCTATGAAATACATCTTTCCGCCACAATATTATTTATAGATTGAAGATTTTCTATACCATTCGTTGTTCTATCTGTCTCATTCACCACTGCTGGTTCCGGTGAATTTTTTTCATTTATTACAAATGTTATACTCTTTATACGTTTATTAACGTATGGTAATCGATATGGCAATGAATTTGATCATTAATCGAGATTAGAACATATGTAGTAGTTTCCCATCACTAGTTTTAGTCAAAATAAACAAATTATCTGTCCGGAATGGTTTGTGATCGGTGCGAAGCGAAATTGTCCAAAGTTGCAACACCTGATCCATGGAAAAATGGAGCAGGAAAGAGAAAAATCAACGAAAACAAATTTTTGTCTACCGCGAGAGATAGACAAAATCCCATTGCTAAAAGTTTAGCACCATGTAGGTTAGTATAAGTTTGTGGTAATAAAGATGTTTGATTCGAATGTATTAAACTTTTTTTTACATAGAATATGTAGGCAGAAAGTTCATCAGATTGGCTCCCATTATTGTCAAGCATGTGCCTACAAAAAAGCTATTTGTGCCATGTGTGGAAAAAAGCTGCTCGATACCAAAAATTATAAACAAAGTTCCACTTAGAACAAATGTATATATTACACGCTTTAATGTTTACAAAAAATGTACATTTAGAGCTTAACATAATTTTTGTAATGTTAATAGATTTAGTTAAGAATTACTAGTTTTCTTCTTTTTATTTGACGTAGAATAACTGAGGGATTCTTTATCGAATTCCAGAGGCATAATTCCCAAGTCCCCGCTATATCGATTTTTTACAATTTGCAAATATTTTTTCCCTCGAAGAGATGTTAGACGCTTATCTTGGATAATAAGGACGTTGTCCGCTTCTTGTGTAGCTTTAGCTGTTCCAAACACCGAACTTGTGGTAAGATCTTCGTCTGCACGTTCTTTGCGCGGATGCATAACTAATGTTACATGAACATTATTCTTCGTGGCAAAGGAACGGAAGGCAGATATAATCGAATCTTGTTCCCAGAATTTATCGCTTTTCTGTGCGATTGACATGCCCATCATAAATTGAAGATTATCTATAATAACATGGCTAATGTCATGAATATACTGGGCATGTTCGACCGCCTCCATTACTAATTTAAGCGGTTGTTGTCCATGAAAAGTCATAAAATATAAGGGATATCTTTCAAATTCACTAGTCCAATATTCAAACTCGTTAAGTTTATCCTCAAGCGAATAACCAACATACTGACGTAATAATGTAGCTGCTAGACGACAGTTGCGTATCTCAAAAGATCCCCATAAAGTTGAAACTCCTTGTAAAGCTAAGTCCAACGAGTATTCACTCATAAAGGTTGTTTTTCCACTGCCAGTAGGCCCTGTTAAGATTGTTAATTCTCCCTTTCTGTGGCCTTTCAGTATTTTATTCAATATGGGATATCGTTTCCATTTTACTCCATTGACTTTTTCTATGTTTTGCAGCTCACTGAGGATATCATTTTTAAGGGCGCTGAACGTAGTTATAGATTTGTGGCACATTGACGTGGCTTTGTTTAGAATATGCTGTAAATTAAACCGTTTTTTATGAGCTTCAAATGGAGCAGGCTCTGTGTCAGTGGGTCTAATAAAAAAACAACGTTTTTCTTCCAGTTTCTTGGCAAAATTCTTTGCAGCATCCCAGTCCGTTGTCTCGAAATTAAACCAAAAAACTACTTCTTTAAATTTTTCAAGGCATGGAAGGCATTCCTGAGGAAGAGATTTCAAACCATAGGGCAAACATGCAATTGATGCTAAAAGTTGAAAAAAATGAAATTAAGAAAAAATCTGCATATTTATAATGAACATAAATGTTTTAAGTAATATCACATTTGGAAACAAGTCAAATTTACCTACTGTTACTCAAACGCTGGATCGATAAAATGATGAAGTCCATAAGATTAGACACTAAAACCACTCGCGAAAATTTGTGTGGAGCATTAGACAATAGCAAACCAGAGTGGTTATAATTTTCTACTGTTTCCTCTCTCCTATCGGACAAGTAAAGAATTTTCTCTCCAACAACTTTATTAGCTACATTTTTTATGGGGAAACGTAAGCAATTTATATTAGGTTCATATTGTGCTCCTAAGTGCACAAAGTCTGAAGACTGAAGGCCTCTCATTCCAAGCTTGTCACAAACACTTTGTGAAACTGGCTGTAAGTTCGTAAATTTACTTTCATATTCCACATCTCTGCACTTCGCATCACCTTTGCAATTTTTCTCGTATAAATGAAGAATGTCTGTCACATTTTTCTCGAGGTTACAGTTTGGGCACAGGAAGAGACCTAGCAAAATTAATAAAATAAAAAATATTTTTGAAACAAAATGAATTACACACCAGTTCGTTTATTTACAAATGCTTCACTTCCAGACATGTTGTTGCATAAATGACATTCTATAAGTAGGCATGTTGGACCATCTTTAAAATTAAGCCGTTGATTCCTTAAATGTTTCTTTAATTCGTACATAACCTTTGGGTCTACAGTATTGTCAGTACTCGTCGGTAAGACGTAGTTCTTAACTAAGTTGTATCTTATGCAAAACCTCAGCCTTCTATTTAATAAAGTTAACATTTTTTAATGTTTTTCACATAAAACAAATACTTTGCAACTTTTCTAAACAAAAAGCCTCGAGGTTTTGGCCGGTACAGTTTATCGATAACAGCCATACATTTATTTTGTAATCAATTTAAACATGTATTAAAAACGATAAGTTTCAGTTTCAGTAGTCGAAAACAAACCAAATGAGTTGCTCAAATAAAAAAAAAATAATAAATAGATAATCCAATAATTCAATTAGATTATTTAAGTTATTAATCAATATGTATTGGATTATTTTAAAAAAGCAAATCAGTAACGAATTAAAATTGTTAAGTATTTAATAAATCCAAATGTGATAATTTTAGATTTATATTCTTGTATATTCGAAACGCTTTTGTTTTGAAATTCATTATAAACATACATAAAATGAATTTTTGTTTTCAAATAAAATGTATATCTACATAATTAATCAAGATCTTATATATTATTCAAGCATTATAAGCTGTCTTTGATTGGTAATTTTTAAGCTTTCTTGTCTAAAGGTTTACATCTGAAAGCAACAACAAAGTTGTCGAGTTGAAATGGCGCAGGAGATAATGCAGCTGCAACAACAACATGCGGCTGCGGATATGTGGTATAGTTCTAAGTTCTTCTCTGGTATAACTTCTACCTTCAATGCTGCCAAGTTTGGCTTTACATATTTTAGCTCACTTTTACTGATGATGAATAGTTCAAATGGCAAATGAAATTATAAATTTCTGTATTTCTTGTATTTTTAATAAATAAGACTTAAAAAAATTATATGAATTTAAAGAAAACCAAAATATATGGTTACAGCAACTTTTTTTAATGCGAAAATAATAATTTCTCTGTAAAGAAAGAATCATAACAGTATTGCTGCCAGTTTGTTTGAGTATCTGGTTTAGTTTGTTCGATTCGCTGGAGAGTAAACTTGTCGAATGGAAGATATTTCATTTTTAGATATTGAACAGTGTAAACGGAGCTTATAAAGTGATAATGTTATCTAAGTCTGGCAACATCTGAATTTCATATACTGAACGTACTTCTTAAAACAAGATGGTTCCCTTTCATTCTTTACAGAGTGGTGCTTGTTGTATCGAATTTTCAAAAGTCGTGGATATTTTACGGAAACAACTCCTTACCATTAATAGGTATCGAGCATTAAGCAAAATAAACGTGAATATTTTGATAAATAATAAGCATTAATTTCGCAATGCGGCGACGAAGTGAAAGAAAGAAGTCGACTGATGTAGCGTCTCCAGCTCTGGCGTCCCGTCGTACAAGTCGACGGTCTCGCCAAACATCTGAAACTGCTAGTGAAAAAGGCGCACATCCTGAAATGTCTACTCAAGATGATGTTACAGAAAAGTGTATCGCGAAGGCAGATTGCCCGGAAGAAAGTACTAACGAGGAACCAGCAGTAGAAACTGCTAAGAGTCGTTCACGTAATCGAACACCGGTAAAGGATCGAAGCAGTCCCGCCAAACGCAAAGCTCAAAATATTACCAATGATCCCAAAATTGACGTTATTCCTGAAGAGAATATCTCCGTAAAAGAAGATTGTCCAGTTGATAATAAAACTGGAAATGACGATAATCAAAATGTTGAAGAGGCACAAAAAACTAATACAGATTTAACAGAGGCAGCAGTATCATCAAGCCCAAAAACGAATGTTGATATGATGAAACCATTAGATGTTTTGGAAATTCAAGCAGAAGATAATGAGGAAGAAAAGTTACAAACGCAAGATGTGTTAAGTAAAAATGAAAAAATGTTAGAAAATGTTGTAGGGTCAGAGAAAAAAGATGATGAAAACAGCATAAATGAAGAATTAAATAAAGTTGATCAAGAAGAAATGCAAGGCTCTACCAAAAATGCTGTAAATGAAAAGACGGATCCATCGCCTACAGACGAAGTAACTGTTACCGAAGAAAAAACGGATCAAATTGTTAATAAACGTAAGTGGATTACAAAGAGGACTGTTCAAAATCGTAGTCCATTGCTTGTCATAACTACTGAAACATCGATCCCTGAAGATGTGCACTCTGTACCGAAACAGAAAATACGGTCTTCACCAGAAATACAAGAAATAATCTCGGAACGTGAAGAAGGCGAGGAGACTCCGTCTCCAGAAAGAGAAGTTCACAGAACCAGTACTAATAGTACTGAAAAACCTATACGTAATCAAATAGAATTAACTTCTGCCCCAAGAACTGTTAGCAAAGTTAATATAAAAGTTGAACACCGTTCCCCGAGTCCGAGAAATAAAAAAGCGAGTAATGTACTTTTCATAACAAATCTTGTGAGACCTTTCACGGTATTACAACTGAAAGGTTTGCTAGCCCGTACAGGCAAACTTGTTGAGGATGGCTTTTGGATTGATCGTATCAAATCAAAATGCTATGTACAATATGAAACAGAAGAGTAAGTTTTTTTTTTTATATCTAGCTATTTATATGAATTATTAAACTATACTTTTTTTATTTTAGTGAAGCTATTGAAACCCGTCATGCACTACATGGAGTACGTTGGCCAGTTTCAAATCCGAAATGCTTAATAGTTGATTTTGCTAAGAGAGCTGATATGGATAGGGCCATTCAATCTACCAAAGAAGAACAAACTAGTTTTGGTCAAGAGAATCACAGAGATAATGTACTCATAGGCATGGGTTGGAATAGAGACAGGAATGGTGTTGATGAGAAACGGGTAAGTAAAATGAGGAGCTAACAGTATTATGTCTGTCTAATATCGCTTAGAACTAAATTCGAAAAAAAAGTTTCTATTGACGAAAAATTTAAAAAAAAACTACAACAATTATTTAGTATACATAAGTTTTTCAAAAAAATATATTGTTGCAATCAATTACATTCCTAAATAAAAAAGACTGCCCCTTTTTCGGAGTTAGCTTCTAAAAAGTTGTAGCGGCAGAAAGCCTGTCTGAAATAATTTGGAGGAATGCTACCGAATTGACCTTGGCCTGATAAAAATCTGGGTCCGTTCCGGTTACGTAGACCTGACTTTCGTGAGAGCGGCAGATTGAAACGTTTGCCATCGAATTTTGAAATTGGGATTACTGACACCATAATTATTAATTATAACATGTAATTTTCCAAAAATATAAAAAGGGGCATCATTCACGTTATCTTCTCATTTTAATGCTATGCTATGAACGGTCAAATATTAAATTTCGAAATTTGAAGGCAAATATTTCTGTTTTTGAGGCTAACTTTGAAAAACCAAGAAATTACTTGTCTCTTGAAAAAGCAAAGTGTTGTACAGCGTTACTAATGAGGTACTGCATATCGTCTGATGTCAAATCTCATTATTCAGTGTATAGTATTCAGTTCATAGTATTTTTGAAGTAAACTCTTCCATTAAAGCATATTCCTGATTCCACAATAACCGGGTCAACGCAATTTATATCCGGTCAAAGACTATTTGCTTGACACCCTTGGCAGTACTTGCAATTTAGTGAATGTTTTATGCTCCCATGAAAGCAAAAATATAATAAACTTCTAAAAAAGAGAATTTATTTGCAATATAAATATATTTAGAAAAAAAATTTCTAAAAAAATATGGCAGATCCTCAAAACTGCATTTTCGGAAAAATAAAAATCAGAAATTATATTATATAAATATTTATATATATATATAAATGATATTATTAATAATATAATATTCGTACGCTTCCTCCATTTTAATTGAATTTTTTTCTTTAAAACCTTAAATTCATTGCTAGACAAAGAAGAATTTCGGGTTATTAGCGGCTTGTAATATATTTCAGACATTGAGACCAGTTCGAGAATGGGATGTTGGAAAGAAAGAAAGTTTAGATCGTGATAAGACCAGGGAAGTTCTAAAACGGCGAAGCAGAGAGAGGGAAATTACTTTTGGAAATCGGGAACCCGATCGAAATGGCAAGGAGAGAAGACCACGGTCGAAAGGAAGAGCTGAGGCGAGAAGTAGTAGCCGGTCACCAGGTAAATAAATAATTTGGAAGTTTAATTATTTAACATATTACATCATTTCCACAATTCATATAAAAAATTGTATTATTCACAGCACGAAAAGTCAAGAAAAAGGAAAATGATCCACCTCTAAGGCTTCTAGATGATCTATTTCGCAAAACTAAAAGTACGCCATGTATTTACTGGCTACCTTTAACGCCCGAACAAGTAAATATAGAATCATAAAAAATATTTTTTTATAACAATAATAATTTTGATCTTTATTTTTGTTTCTTAAGATTGCTGAAAAAGAGGCATTCCGACAGAAACGACTTGAAGAGCATAAGCAGCGTATTAAGCAAAGAGAGTTGGAAAAGGGGAAGGAAAGAGAGAAAGAACGGAATCGGATCAATGAACGAAGGGATCGTGAAAAAGAAAGGGATCAAAGACGCAATAGATCCAGTGATCGTCGCTCTCGTAGTCGCGATCGACGCCGTTACTAAAAAATATTGGTATTGTATAACCAAATTATCATTACGTCGACGTCGTTGCATTTGAAATTTATTACTTTTCAACACATGCAAAACAGAATGCATGGTGCACGAAAACTGAAAATAAATTTCATTTGGCATCGTTCTTAAATTAAAAAATGGCAAGTATTTCTAGCAAAAATATTAGAAATCGTTTCCGGATGCCCTTAGCCTTTGGCGAAGATATTTATGATATTTCACATACAAAATTAATTCGAAGAATTTACGTTCACAAAAAAATCATCGCCAAAGTAGTTTTCAAAAGCCCATCAATTTTTTTTTTTTTTTTTTTTAGATAAATGGTGACATTTAAAATTTTTTAAAATTATTTTTTGAAGCATTTCGTTATTTTCAAACGGTTTAACAAGATTATTTATAATTTATTTTGTTTTCATTATGTCGTGAAAAACTCATATTTCTTATACCCGTAAAAGTTTAGATTGGGTATTCAATTTCTTTTTTGCAATTGCTGCAAAACAATACTATAGGAAACGAACCGATTAAAAAAATTTAAACAATTGAATATCCGTTATAAACCTTTCTGGGAAAGTTCTTTCAAGTGGAGAGGAACAGCAACCCGGTTGAAATCAACAAGTGTTCTCGGCGCTCGGACTCTATTTCAACAGTAAAGTGGCATATGGCCACGAATTTTTAACACAAACAATTCAATGATAATATTTAAATAAAAGGCAATAAGTTCTCTCAATAATATTTGGTTTTATTTGCAAGTATTTATCAGGGTTGAAATTAATACATTAACTAAAAATAATTTAATTACCAATTAAATTAATTTTTTTTTATGTACCAACTGAATTAAATATTCTTTTATTTTGTAATCTCAAATATTTTAATTTAAACAAATTAAAAATTTTGTTTTAACCAAATACCGGCTTGAGTTTTAATCCTATACTAAATAATGGGAAATATTTCAATCCATATATTAAAATGAAAAATAAAACGAAATATAATCACAAAAATTAAATTGAAAAAAAAATTCGTCCCAAGCTTATAATTAAAAATTAAAAAAAGAAATTATTTTGGAATTACAATTTTTCGCGTTTGTGTACTTCCATTTTACTCATTTTGGTTATCTTTTGAAAAGAAAAGTTCTTTTTGTCTTATTTATATTTAATTACTTTTAATCATACTGTGTCAGTTAGTCTCCTTTTTTTATCCCTTTTTATTACGGCTTAATTTGAAAAATAATTTTTTGTTTGTTGCTCCAATTAAATTAAAAAATATTTTCTCTATTTTGTATCCAAGATGATTATTTTTAAATCAAACGTCTTGGGTTAAAAATTAAGTTATCCATACTTCCATAATAATATTATAAACGTGAATGTTAGTATGTTTGTTACGCTTTCACGCCGAATCCACTTAACCGATCACTGAAACTTTTTACACACATTCCTTATGGTATTAGAAAGGACATATCATAATTACTATTAATATATAAAAAATATATACATTTTTTACGGATTGTGCAAAAAATTATTTGGATGATCATATCTGTTTGTAAAATAAATTTAAAAAAAAATTTGGCAGAAATGATTGCCGATAAAATTCAAAATGTAAAAAAACCAAAATGCATCAAAAGCGTAAATAATCGCTGTATAGTATTCGTGTACATATTCTGTATTTAGTTTTTTTTGTTAGTAATCTTTGATATTTATTTGAAGGATTCAATGCGAGCGGAAAAAGCTAGTAAATATATAACAAAAGGTACTCAGTCCCATATTCTTCAGTATAGTTTATTGATAAGTCCGACTGAGCAGTACTGGTATATCATAAACATTGAATGCTTGAATTGTACTAGGTGAGTTCATCCTTACTCGATAAATTTAATATAGTTACACGAATATCGATATATCTCTTCCATATCTAATTGTCGTGATAATTTTTTATCAACAATTCCAACCTATTTAACTAAACTGGTAATTATGTGGAGTGATACGATTTTAATAGTATTTATTTCCATTTGCACTGCGCTTTTGGGAGAAGGTTTGTAAACTCATTCAATAATTCGTGTAAATTAGTAAAAATTATCGTTTTTAACTTAAGGTCTTACTTGGGTATTGGTATATAGAACCGAAAAATATCAAAAGTTGAAAGGTGAAGTTGAAAAACAGAGCAAAAAATGTAAGTATTAAAAGAAAAGCAACGATACATAATTGTTTAATGAAAACTAAGAGATAAAGTTAATTGTATTACAAATGAGATTGAAGTGTGGCTTTACAAAATGTGATACCAATTTTAACCAAAGCCTTTTGCGTATATTTATTTTTGCTAACAAATCATCAATCAATTGCCGAATCATCATTAAATTATGAATTTATAAGTTTCCTCATTATTAAACTACTGCCAAAGCATTGGTTCAAACCCTCAAAAAAACCGTGCATACATATGTACACTACGCATCAAATGAAAGTATAAATTTCATAGTAGTTTTTTCATTGCAGATTTATTAAAATAAGTAGGTAAAAAATCATACAATATTATTATATTTCCATGGTTGTTAAATAACAAATTATATATGAATATATCTTTTTCCAAAAATGAAAGTATAAAATTGCAAAAAAATGTAAAAAAATTATCTTAAAAATAAATTTAATAATTAGTGCTCGCACCTTTGCTCTGGATTACTGCTCGAAGACGTTTTGACAATTTTCTAATATTTCCTCGGAAATATTGTCCCATTGACACTTCAGCTGTGGGAAGAATGACTTCAAGTTTGTGTGGCTGCTCTTTGTTATTTTGGAGTCCAATGTATATACATACGTATTAAAAATAGTGGAATATAATTAAAATTGTAAAAAAAAAAATTCTATTGTCAATTTATGAGTAGTTAGGCATTTAAAAGCACTTGTAAAACTTATGTAACATATAACATTGACATTTATAATTTCTTTAACAAATTTAAGTGGAAAGACGTAAGGAAATCCATGGAGAATCTCTTGATAAATCGCAGAAAAAGAAAATTGAACGCGATGAAGAGAAACTGAAAAATAATAACAGGGATCTGTCGTTGGTAAAAATGAAGTCTATGTTCGCGACGGGCTTCGCATTTACAGCGCTCCTCAGTATGTTCAACAGCATGTAAGTTGCAGCTTTAAAAATATATGTGTTATTAAAAACTAATTATTACTATTATCCCACACCAGCTTTGATGGTCGCGTCGTAGCACAGCTACCCTTCACACCAATTTCTTGGATTCAAGGTTTGAGCCACAGAAATTTGTCTGGCGATGATTACACCGATTGCTCTTTCATCTTCCTTTATATACTTTGCACAATGTCTATTAGACAGAATATTCAAAAGCTTTTAGGTTTCGCACCTTCAAGAGCAGCTAGCAAACAGGGCGGAGGATTATTTGGACCCACGCCGGGACAATTTAAATAAACATAAAAATTAATAACAGTTTTGTGTATTTTTTATTTAAAAAAAATACATTCATTAGAATTATTAATTAAAAAGTGTTTAGACTTTATGTGCATAAATATTATATATATATATATATATATATATATATGTTGTATGTTATATACAATACATATATGTATGTAAGTATTTATTTACAAATAACAGCATATGCATGTATGTTCTTCACATAAAAGCGTGTTCAAAAATTGGCCTGTCTACAATAATTCGATCGAAAGCAAGTCTAGATAAGTCAATAGTTCGAAATTGTGCATCGATTATTAGTTCAGAAATTGCTCTACCCACAGCAGGCGATTGCTGTAAGCCTAAACCAGAAAATCCACTTGCAATATACAGATTATTGTAGTAAGCATGTGGGCCAATAATACCATTTTCATCAAAAACATTATACTCATAAGAATACTCCCAAGCGTCAATAACTTTTGGTTTCTTCAACATTTTCATCCTCTGCATTAAAGAAGGCAAAACCTTAGTTTCAAAGTTGTTTTCGCTTAGCCCATTTTTTGTGTCTGTGGACGTACTGAAACCTGTTATATAGTTACCAGTTAGGCCATCTCTTCGAAAGTATAGACCATTCAAATCTACCACACATGGTGTACCAAGACCTGATGCATTGATATCATCACTGTTGAACATGTAAGCGTAATTATTTCGTTGGATTATTGGCAGAGGAATTTGTAAAATTCCGGAACTCGTCCCTATTTTCGCTAGTTTAGCAATTTTCTCTGAACTTGTGCCGGCAGCAAGTACACAAATCGAAAATTTTATAGAACGTATTTCGCCATTGGGCATTTTGACTATTGCTTTTTGCAAAGCATTATATGTACTGGTTGTAGATTCTCCTTCAATGACAACATCTGGTTGATTTTGAAATTTAAAGTCTATCAATTCAGATTGTATGAAATGTGCGCCATACTCCATAGCTTTACTCCTAAGACCTAATAACAAATTAGCCGAATCAAACCATCCATGTTTTTCGAGTCCTTGGCAACCTGTAAATAATTATATATTACTTTAATTATTGTTTTGTTATTCAAATTCGTCTATTTTTTTTTTTTATTTTTTTAAAACCAATTGCTACATCTTCAAGGTTTAGCCATGGAAATTTTACTTTTAGACGTTCTGGAGTTAGTATTTCGGTGTGGGCGCCAAATTCATTTTGTATTTTCGACATCGTTTTAAGTGTCTCCGCATTTTCCGCAGAAGCCAGTGTAAGGAATCCGTGAGGATCAAACTTAATATCAACACCAAGTTCTTCCTTTGCATTCCTCATAAACTCTGCTCCGTAAAGTGCCATTTCGATATTTTCAGGTAAAAGAAATTGCTGCCGCAAGCCTCCCATAGGTAAAGTTAAGCAATTCCTGGTATTTAAATGCTGTTTAAAGTAAATGCTGAATCTAATTAAATTCACTAATTACTTTTATTTAATAACGCGTTATTATTTATATAGTAGATATACTCTTACCGCAAAATCCTTTTCAATAACAACAACATTTAAGCCTTGACGAGCTTTTTTCTTCAACCAATAGGCAGCAGCTGACCCAACACCTCCTCCGCCTATTATGAGAACATCACAATGTGTCTGAAACTCTTTGTCATCCATTCTGTTTGAAGATTCAACATTTTTCTCCACATCTTCATGTCTTTTTTCAAAAAAGGGAGTGAAAAACGTTTTAACTTTTCTCATATCATTCCTCAAAAGTTTTAAAGTCCTTTTAATTGGATGTGGTTGATCAGAATTATTATCACTGAAAGGCCTTATCAAAGCCGGTCGGCAAAACTTATTAATTTTTAATAACTGTATAAATGTCATGCTCTTCATCATTTTTTTGAATGTATTAAACTAATTTTATGTTTTTTGTAATATATATATAGTTATTTGACATAAAAACTAATATTACGATATTTGAAATATGTAATAAGTAAATATTCAAGTTAACCTAAATTGAAATCAGCTGTTTTTGTGTGCTATTATGGTGCTGTAAAATTACGTTTTGTAGTCTTGTGGATGTTCTTATCAGAGGCAATATGGCCAAGTAGGTTGACAATGGTTCTCACATTAATTATTCTGAAAAGTTGTGTTGATACAGTAATTTGTATTTATGCCAATGGAACTACACAATATGAAGAAAACTAAAAATAATAGATATCTTTATACATATATTTAAAATTTATATTTTGATTTTTGAATATACATTACAAGTATAATTAATTTCATAAAGAAAATTATTAGCAAATGACTCAAATTGATACACATATTTTATTACATTTCGCACAGATATAACAAATGTCCATATGATATTATTTACCCTAATATTTGATCTTCTCATAAAATCACTAAGAAAATGTCATAATTCTTATGAAAATTTAAGTTTAATAAAAAATTACAAGTAATTTCAAATATCTCTTAGTGCTATTATAATGGTTAGTCTATCTCACTGCCATGCTTTAAAAGTACGAATGCAAGTTTAAAATGTGTGGTAACACTGCGTTTTTCTTATTTGACATTTCATTTATATTCCCTGCTTTGCATTACTCGACAATTTTTGGTTAACCGTGAATTTTGTGATTTGTGAAATTTATTATTAAATCCGAAAAATGACAAACATTGTGGAAACTTCAGGACAGGACGTTGAAATGGAGGTGGAACCATCTAGTGAAAATGCAGGAGACACGAAAAAAGATCAAGGTGTCTCAACAATATTGGAAATTCGTGAGCAAATACGTCAGATTGAGAGGGCCGTAGCATCAAAGGAATCTAGGTACTATTATTAACTTTGTTTTCTTTTTTGATATATGTACATAATTAATTAAATGTTTGAATTGTAGATTCATTTTAAGGGTGCTTCGTTCACTTCCCAATACGCGTAGAAAGCTAAGCGCTGCTATTTTCCGAAATATAGCTCAATCAATATATCCAGCCGGAACTGATCGCGAAACTGCAAATAGTTTGATTCCGAATACTCCAGCTGGAGTCATAGAAACTGAAATACCGAGAAGTCGTTCAGCCACAAAACCTCCAATTGCTGAAGTAGATGCATACTTTTATTTACTCTTGTTGGTTAAGCTAATTGATGAAGCAGATATAAAACGTGCAGTTGTGTGTTCCGAAGCACTAATGTCCAAAATTGCTGGGCAAAATCGTCGCACTTTAGATTTGATTGGAGCAAAATCTTATTTTTACTACTCGCGAGTTATTGAGCTTAACAACTGTTTAGAAACCATAAGAGGATTTCTTCATGCTCGTCTGCGGACAGCTACATTGAGAAATGATTTCGAAGGTCAAGCTGTACTAATTAATTGCTTACTACGGAATTATTTGCATTATTCACTTTACGATCAGGCTGACAAATTAGTAAAGAAGTCTGTATTTCCGGTATCAGCAAGTAACAATGAATGGGCACGATTTTTATATTATTTAGGCCGTATAAAGGCAGCAAAGCTCGAATATAGTGATGCTCATAAGCATTTGGTACAAGCGTTGAGAAAAGCTCCACAAAACGCGGCCGTTGGATTTAGGCAAACCGTGCAAAAGTTGATTATAGTTGTCGAATTGCTATTGGGAAACATACCAGAACGACAGATTTTCCGACAGGCGGCATTGCGTAAATCTTTGGCACCGTATTTTCAGCTTACACAAGCTGTACGTCTAGGTAATCTCCAGCGATTTGGTGAAGTGGTAAAAAACTTTGGACCGAAATTTCAACAAGATCATACTTACACTCTGATTATTCGTCTAAGACACAATGTTATAAAAACTGCAATTCGTTCAATTGGACTTTCTTATTCACGCATATCACCAAACGATATTGCAAAACGTTTAATGCTTGATTCAGCCGAAGATGCTGAATTTATTGTGTCTAAAGCTATTCGAGATGGAGTTATAGAAGCAACTCTAGATCCAGAACAAAATTACATGAGAAGCAAGGAAAGTACAGATGTATATAGTACACGCGAACCGCAGCTTGCTTTCCATGAACGTATCACATTTTGTCTTGATTTGCACAACCAAAGTGTAAAAGCTATGCGCTATCCACCGAAATCATATGGTAAAGATCTGGAGAGCGCCGAAGAGCGGCGTGAGCGTGAACAACAGGACTTAGAATTGGCTAAAGAAATGGCCGAAGACGATGAAGATGGTTTTTAAGAAGTTTGTTTTAAAAAAGTATATAAACCGAAAGCGTTGTCGCGCAACAATTTAAATATAATCCCAAAATAATTCTTATAAAAAATTGTGTTTCTCTTCCTGAAGTGAAAAAGGTCAGCATAGACTATGTAGTTTTTGTAGCGGTGGCAAATATGCCTCACATGGTTTTGAGGAATGCCATAAGTTGACAGCCTTGGCCGGAATTCGGGTTCGCTCCCCACTGTTGGGAGACTAGGTCAATGTGTTGGGCTCTAAAAAATTTCTAATTAATGTACATATAAGAATTCCAGGAGGTTTTCCTAATTTCCAGTCTCGATTAATAACGAAAACTTCTCAATCCGTTTCTTTTTGAGTAGTTTTCCTTGCGAACTAATTACACAAAATTATATAGATATTTAAAAGATATGCCGCCAGTAATGGAAAATGTAAACGATTTTATAAATCAATGTGAAAAACAACGAAATAAATAAAATTTATTAAACACATACATACTTCTATATATAATATTTGCGATGTTTATGTACTTCTGGGACATTAGCATTTCCTAAAGTAAAACTGGTTGAGAAAAATTACTCAATCTTTTTTGACAAATTTTTAAATATAAATTTGTATAAAGTATAAATTCTAATTTTTTGAGACGTCAGGCTAGCAATAGAAATTCTTGATGGAATAAGAGATAGCTGAAAAGAAAAAAATTGCGGGGCAGCCATTTTTTGTAAACAAAAAACTGTCAGGCAGACATCTTTTGTAAACAAGAATATTGTCAGAAAACGCATTTTTAAATATAAGAACTGTCAAACATATTTTCGGCAAAATGATAAGATTTATTGGTATCTTCTTTGTGCTATGCACACAATTTAATATGTTTTGCAGTATGTATTTTAAGAAATTTTAAATTTAAAAATCTTATTATAAATAAATAATATATTTCTTACGTTAATTTAAACAACATTTTTTTCAAAAGTCCTGGCAATATTGTGCGTTCTTTGTTGTCGGTGTGCGGTAACACTGTTTTTACTTGTCGTGAATGAAATTGACTATACATTTGGTTATTGTGTTTCAAAGTAATTTAATATAAAGAAACGATTCTATAAATATTTAAAAAGTGAAAGCATTAGTAGCAAGGTTATATATGCCGTTTTGCATTGGCAAATGTGTTGAATTTTCTTTTCGTTGTTATAGCGAGAAGATATTACAAATCTGCACAACGTAAGAAAAGTTTAAAGGAAAAGAAAGATAAACCATAAGTAAAGTGACGGCAGCGACGACTATCAACAGCACAAGCAAATCAAAAAGAATATTGTGCAAAATAACGAGCTGCAAGGCCCAGTATAGCTCAACGAGTAACGAGTTGCCACCGTAGAATCAAGTGCCAATGTGTGGTGCGACCTTCTGGCCTCGGGCTATCTTAAGCCAAATATTGAAATTAAAAAATTGTGCTTAAAGTATAAAATCTAGTTTATTAACAATAGCAAAAAATAATATTTGGTTGAGTTGGCTGATCTAAACGCTGTCGGAGGCAGCATTGCAACAACGCGCCTCTAGATTAAGTGTAGGATTGCAGTGTATTGCAACTACACAAATATACATCAAAAAGACGAATTTTGTAAGAAAAAGGAGAAAAGAGAACGTTGTAACAGATTTTCACTTGGTTGATGCGCGACAGTAAATGTATCAGCGGAAATGATTTGTAAAAAGGACGTTATCCAATGGTTTAAAGAACTCGAGAGTTATAAAAGGATCGACACGATGTGTACTTTGCTTAACATGTGTTTACCGTTTGAGTTGCGGTTCTTAGGCACATGCCTGGAAGAGTTGGGCCGGCGAGATTCGCAAGAGTTACGTGGCATGGAATTGAGAGTGAATAATCCCCAAGATTTGGCATCTGATATGGTTGCATGTCAGAAAGGCGAACCAACTGATAAGAAAATAAGGCGGAAAATGGCGCTTTATTTAGCATTAATACGAGCTTGCAATCGTACCTGTGTGACGGAGATATTTCGAACGTTGGATGGTTGGGGTGACAGAGACTTTCTGAATATGAATGACTCAGATACTTTGCAGGAGCTTTTATTGGTTTATACCATGGCAGCCAATCATCCGGTTTTTTCATTTGATCAGCAATGCAAATGTACTCAAATTTTTGAGAAAATTAAAGAAAATAAGTTGGTGGCAGATTTTCAGTCGCCGCTTCCTCAACAGCCGAATATTGACCCAACGCTGGTTCATACTCAACATCAGCAAGAGCCACGTCAACATTTGCCTCCGTCCCACCAAGAAATTCCACAACAGTTACTTCATGCAATGCATATCCCTGGACAACCGCATCCACAAATATTAACTCCCGTCAACATTATGCCAATGACATTTCCACAGGGTCTTCATAAGGTAGTATTAGTTATCCAATGCTTATAATTTATATTTAATTAACTATTTATCTTGTGCTTTTTGTACCTACGTTTACTACATTTAGGATTTCCATCTGCAAATAATTATATGACAGGACACTTCATTTAAATAAAAGTTTTATACTAGTTATAAACATATCAATGCAACAAATTTGAAAACTTGCTGTTAAGGTAAAGGGGTACCGAAAAGTTGAGTGTTTTACAAAAATCATATTAATTAGGGCTGTAGATATACTCTGAGATGTATTCTATGTTGTTCGGTTAGGATCCGCAAACATTTTAAGTTCGAAATTTCGCTAAACAATGTAGACAATACCATACCTTTATTATACCTGATTAGGGTATATTCAGTTAGCCACGAAGTTTGTAAGATCCAGAACTAAACGTCCGAGACCCTATAAAACATATATGTATATTTATGTACAGTGCCTCACAAAAGTATTCGGAAATTATATAATTTTAGTAAAAAAACTTAAAAGATCAAAAGATCGTTTTAAGAAGTTTATTTTGATATTTATTACCTTAAATAACTTGCAAAAGTTCCGTTATTATCGCTGGCGTTCTAAGCTGTGAGTAGCAAGTTAGTCTGAATAAAAATTTTGTGAAATCCGGTCATTTTGCTTTTGTTTGTAAAAAATATGATAAATTGTTTAAAATATGGAAAGAAAATCAAAAGAAACCACATTTGAAGAAAAATAATATTTAAAGTTCGAAAAGATGGAAAATATGCAGTTTATTACTGATAAAATGAATCACCGGCTATATATTGCGGAGCGAACAAAAAAATTAGTTTTTTCAATGCCAAATAGACTAAAAGAAGTTAAAAAGATGAATGAATACGCTGCCATATAATTAATTTTGGTTTAAATATATAATTTTTTTGCAAATACTTTTGCGATATGAATCAACCGAATTTTTCAGTTGAAGTGTTTTTTCCTGTTCTTTTAAAGTTAAAAATTTATTTTTAATGAATAAATATAAAAATTGGCTAGTTTAATAAAAAAATTAAAAATGCATATAATGTTTGAATCGGTTTTTTACTTTTCTTTAAGCATACAAATTTTCACTTATATTTTGGGGAATACTGCTGAAGTGGCCTTACTTCGTCAAATAATTTTTTTTAGTTGATCTGGTATCACATACATACTCTTGTGGCTATGATTTATTTCCACCTAAATAACATCTCATATGATTTTAATAAATTAATTAGTTACTAACATGCATTTAATCTCAATAAATACCTAAGTGCATATAATATATATAGGTACATCTAAAACATATGTGTGTATTTCAGATAATTCAGGCAGATGGAACAATGCAACATCCTGTTCCTGTTGATCCCCATATGATTCCATTAAATGTCATTCCAACTGAATCTAATCCAATTTTTCAGCCAACATGGCAACGGATGTATCCCCAAACGGTTGAGGTAAATATTAAATTACTTATTGTTTGTAACATTTTACTTTTACATTACTTTTTAATTTTGTAAAAAATGAAATTACACCATTTTTGAGTTGATTTATGGAAATATTTGATATATCTTTATTAAATGTAAATTAATTAGTGAAATTAATATAATTTTTTCCTAATTTATTTAGCATCCACCGCAGTCGGCATCGCCGATGCTTAGCCAACAATCCTCTCCATCAAGTAGCCGAACCACAAGCCCAAATCGGAATCCAGGTAGCAATATGATGCTACCTGGCATGCAGTTGCAATCACGAAATATGCCACAAAGAATGAGTGCCTCATTGAAAAATGTTAGGCGTCCATCGGCTGAAACTACACCACCACCAATGGGACAACAGCAGCATCAACAACTGATACATGACATTAATATGACAACCAACATAAAGAATATAGATGATGTAAGTATCAATCACTAGACACAGCTGCGTGCATAAATCTCTATGAGACATTATATCCTTTAACATTTTTATTTAAGTTGAAATATTTTTTGTTAAATGAACTTTACTTTATTTTCAACATTTGGTATTAATAATCGGTTTACATATTTATTCATTGTAGGGTGTAGCAAGCAATGAAGGTACCGGTAATCCTCTCCAGGCGTTGATTCGCAATGGTTATCCACGCCGGCATAAGTCAGGCAATTATACACCGCTTATTCATCAGCAGCAACAACAATTAGCGGTAAATCCACATTTCCAACCGGTTACAAATTTTGCTGCCCTAGCTTATTCAATGCAGAATATGTCAATGTCTGATGGCACTGGTACTGGTTTAGATACCACATTAGTACCGGGATCATTGAACGCGAATAAGAGTGGTGGCAGTGATACAGGTAGTTCCAATGGTTCGTGTGGTGATGCTTCACCGCCAGAAACGCCAACGCTTTCAGGTACTACAAATGTGCCGGGGTTACGACTCGGTAGTGAAAATCAACTGCAAAAACACCAACAGTTGGGCTATAATAAACAGACGGGGAATCCAAGGCTTAACGGTCGCTCAGATAAAATGATTTCGGCGAATGTTGTAAATTCCGTTAGCACAGCCGCAAGTGGCATGTATACAACACCAATGATGAATACACATCCGGCGCTAACGCAACAGTCACAACCAATGTACGGTGCTGAAATTATTTTAGCATCCGGTGGCAATGCGGGTGGCATTGGTTTGATGCAAACATCACTGGCCAATAACAATAATAGTGGCGCGGGTATTGGCAATAATATTGCAGTTGTGAATACAACTTCAAATATTGGCACCAGTAATAATAATTTAGCAACTAATCCTGTTTTAATGAGTTCGCCATCGCCAGGTGTCGCTAGTGGTGGTGGTAGCATTATATCCAATCTGACACCGAATCCGCTTATCCTGCCCACGCCACATCAACAGCAATATAACGCAACCTACCCATATCATGCAGCGCCTACTGCCCAACATCAGCGTTTGATGAGTCATACCGGCGGTCCAGCACCGCCACAATTGCGACTTATGCCGAACGAACACATTTTTTCATATTATCAAATACCAGGTGCGGCACCACCCGGCGCGCCGCCCCTCGCATTACGTCCGACTAATGCGTTGCCACCCCCACCTAATACGAATGTCACGTCGGGTGTTACTGGTGTGCTGCAGGTGCAGCAACAACAGCCCACTGCGCAGGCGCTTCAAACTAATCCAACTATTGTCGCCAGTCCTACGATATTGACTGGTGGTACGCCGTACAGCACGCAGGCAGCGCCAATTGTCAGTAATAAACATTTATCGTGCTACAACTGTGGTTCTCAAAGTCACAGCGGGCCCGATTGTCAAGAAGCGTCCATGGAGGATGTTACCCGCAGCGCCATATATAAATTAGACTATTCCGGCTCGTCGAGTGCGTCACCAACTGTGTCATCGGGTGCGAATAGTGCGATCGTTGGTAGTGCAGGCGCTGGCGGTATTGGCGGTATTGGCTGTGCTGCTGCTGGTGGTGCTGGTAGTGGCGGTAGCAGTGGTGGTGGTGGAGCTATAACAGACTCTTTGCAAATACAACATCACCCGCAACAACAACAACCACAACACCATCAAAAACAACACACTGTGGAAGTAACTGGTGCAACATTAGTTGGTACACAGTCGAGTGCGACCACACTACATTCGTCCACGCCCGCCGTCAGTGCAGTGAACACAAAGTGAAGTTATTATTGGCAAATTTTTGAGTGCGGTGTTTGAAAACTGAAAAACAGAAACAAAACATATTCACTCATCATCAGCATGTCTGTAACTCGTATGTGTTATTCAAACTTAACTATTATCACTCCCGAAAAGTGTTAGTTAAGTTAAAAAAAAGTTATGGCGGGTTGAGAAGACAAACTGAAAATATAGTGTAATAATAGTTGAGGCTTGCCAGCTCTTTGCTGTGCTTGCAGTATAGAGGTTTATACAGTTATGATTGGCGGAAATCAAATTTCACGCTTCTCCTAGCGCATAAGATTTAAAATTAGTGAAACTTTTTAATAACAAATGATTAATATATACATATTTCAATGTTGAATAAGACTTAATTAATTAATTATCGCGTGTAACATCCGAAATCGAGTTATAGAGGTTTAACAAATGTAAAAAGTTTGCTAAACTTGTTATACGGATATAGGAATGCGAACAAATAATGGTAAAATACTCGATTGTACGTCCATGTAAATTTAAACACATTACTACACACTCAATTCGGACTGTATGTATTATGTAGTATGACAATTTATTATAAGCAACTATTATTATATACTCTTAAAATGTTTCTCAATGTAAATTCGTAAGCAAATTGAAAAAAAAAATGTAATTAGGTCAGCTGTATTTATTTATTTAGTAAAATTAAATTTCCATTTAAAAACGTTAGCTATGCGCGCTTAGCTTTGCAAGCCAACACATCTAGAACAAATTATAATTTTTTTTTTTTTTGTAAATTTGATGCGTTAAAATATTCTACTAAATTATATAATAAGAATTCGCGCTGCATGTTAAAAATTTTAATAATATTTTCTTTTTTTTAAATA